TGCCGAAAGCCCGTTTCGGGCCGGTGGCGACAGTGCTCAACCGAACAAACCTGTGGTAGAAGAGGTTGTAGTGGTAGCGGAAGCTGAAACTGTAGAAGGGGTTGTTCATGGGGAAGGCGATTTCTCGGTAGGAAAGAAGATTGTAACAAACCCAGATATTATGGAGGCTAATAAGACTAAAATCACGGAGACAACTGAACATGATGTAATTGCTGGTGACTATGGACCATGGCTATTGGTTCGAAAAAGCCCTCGTAAGGGTCCCTCTAACAGGGTCAATAAGGATATTACATCAGGATCAACGAAGGAGGTTTCGGGCTCTAAAGGTGTTGACTTCACATTTACAAGCCAACAGTCGAGATTTAAAGTATTGGAATCTCTTGTGGATTTGGGTAACTCTACTCCGCAACGAAAGAAAGACAGTGGGCCTAGCTCTACTGGCCCAGTAACTGCTAGAAAGAATATTGACCAGTTTGCTCTTAATAACGGCATGAAACCATCAGGTGAAGACTCGTATATTGATGGATCTACGACAAAGAAAGCCCAAAAAGGTTTATTATTTCAAACTAAGTTTCAGCCTATCACTAGGCCCATTCTAGTTGGGAAATTAGGGGTTCGATTGAAAGGGCACAAATCAGGGTGCTTTGATATAGGGATGGGTGCTAAGACTTCTGCGAAGAAGAAAATCGTGAGTCGTAAAGGGGACTTGGCCTTGGTCCAGGAAATAAAAGATGTTGAACAAGCATGTGTGGTGAGCAAGGGAAACAATGTGTCTATAGGGGTTGGCAAGGACCATGCCCCTGATTTACAACTTCTTGCTTTTGACAATCAAAATCATCCTAGTAGTTCCAAGGGTTTATGTGACCTGACCTCTTCTAATAGGCAAGGTTTGGACTTGAGTGATGGGTGTTTGCTTATGTCTGAATCTATTTCTAAGGATGTTGATATGGTGGTTTTCCATGAAGAATATTCTGGTCTTGAAGCGACCAATCCCTCAACCATGTTATAATGAATCTTTTGTCATGGAATTGTAGGGGTACGTTAAGTCGAGGATTTGCCTCACTCATTAAAGATATTAAAAGAGAATATTTATGTTCGCTTATTTTTCTTCCAGAGACTCATTCGAGTGGAACAAAAGCTTCCCAGACGATCCATAAGATTGGCTTGGATGGGAGTTTTGTGGTAGATGCAATTGGCCAGTCAGGTGGTATATGGTGTCTTTGGGACTCTTCTGTGTGGCAGGTAGAAATTTTGGGAAGCTCTAAACATCATGTTCATATGAAAGTGTCTTGGAAAAATTCAGAGGATTGGTTGTTATCTATTGTTTACAATAGCCCTCAACACCAACATCGTCAGGCTCTTTGGGATGTACTGTGGGAATTAGCTGCTGAGATTGAAAGTCCTTGGGCCATTCTAGGAGATTTCAACTCGATACTCCATCCCCACGAGCGGCAGGTGGAGTAGTGGAGCCTTCCTTGAGAGGTATGCATAGCTTCCAGAATATGATTACTGATTGTGAGCTTATTGATGTTGGGTTTTAGGGGTATGCTTTTACTTGGAAACGAGGTAATCTTGAGCAATGATTAGATAGACTTTTGATTAATTTCCAATGGCGTATGAGGTTCCAAGAAGCTGTGGTTCTCCATCTTTCTCCTTATAAATCAGATCATAGACCATTGCTAGTTAAGGTGGCTCTTGACTATCAGGTGGAACGACATAAACGCCCTTTTCACTTCCTGGATGCTTGGCTTACTCATGGGAATTTTCCTAGTCTTGTTCGCTCTAGGTGGAAGTCTTCCCTCCCTTAGACGGAGACAATTAAATCATTTACATCTGAGTTACAAGGCTGGAGTAAAGATGTTTTTGGTAATATATTCACTAAAAAGAAGCGACTTATTCAACAATTGGATAGATTAAACAATTCTATACCTAGTGCTGGAAAATCTAGTCAGCAAGAGTTGTTGCGAGAGACTTGGAAGGAGTATGAGGCTGTCTTGTTTAAGGAGGAATTGTTGTGGTTCCAAAAATCTTGATCAAAATGGTTGATGTTGGGAGATCGCAACACCTCCTATTTTCATGGGACTATACTATTATTAGGAGGAGACGTGGTAAGGTGGACCCATTCAGTCAGTTGATGGTTCTTGGGTGACTGATCCGAGATCGCAACACCTCCTATTTTCATGGGACTATACTATTATTAGGAGGAGACGTGGTAAGGTGGACCCATTCAGTCAGTTGATGGTTCTTGGGTGACTGATCCGGTTGTGTTGAAAAACTTAGTCACCAACTTTTATAAGCAATTATTTATAGAGGACACTGTCTATTAGGATTTTGTTGTAAAAAGTATGTTTCCTCCCTTGGATGAGGATGCTCTTAAATCCCTAGGAGAAATTGCGTCAGCTGAGGAAATTCACCGAATTATCAACAGTATGGGCGCTTTCAAATCTCCAGGTCCAGATGGCTTTCAAGCAATTTTCTATCAGACTCAATGGAGTGTGGTTGGTGCTTCTCTAGTTAAGCTTGGTCAGGGTATGTTCAGAAATCCCCAAAGGCCCCAAGAGATTAATGATACATTCATCTCTCTAATTCCTAAGATAGAACACGTTTCTATGTTGAAAGAGTTCAGACCAATTAGTTTGTGTAACGTCTCATATAAGGTGGTTACTAAAATTCTTTCTCATCGATTAAGGCTGCTAATGGAAAAGCTAGTGGGTCCATGTCAGGCTAGTTTTATTCCAAATAGACATTATTGCTCAAGAAGTTTTCCATTCTATGCGGAACAAAAAAGGTGCTACAGGGTGGATGGGAATTAAAGTTGACCTTGAGAAAGCATATGATTGAATTAATTGGAATTTTATTCGGGATACTCTATATGAAGTGGGTTGCCCTATAAATTGTGTTGAGCTAATTTGGCATTGTATCTCCTCTTCCAAGATGCGTGTGTTGTGGAATGGAGAAATGCTTGAGGAGTTCAAGCCTGAGAGAGGAATCAGACAAGGAGATCCAATCTCACCATACCTGTTTGTCCTTTGTATCGAGCGACTTTTTCACCTTATTCAAGTTGCAGTCGAGACTAAGCTTTGGAAGCCAATTCAGATTGCGCGGTGAGACCCTAAGCTTTCCCACCTAGCCTTTGCAAATGATCTCCAATTGTTTGCAGAAGCTAGCGAGGAGTAAGCAGATGTTATCGTACAGGTTCTTGAGCTTTTTTGTAAAAGTTCTGGGCAGAAGGTTAGTAGTGAAAAAACCTGGATTTTCTTCTCTAATAATGTTGGGTGGCATAGAAAATAAGCTATAAGTCAGAAGATGGGTTTTCAACATACTTCTGATTTGGGTAAGTATCTTGGCATTCCGATTCTTCATAAGAGAGTCTCTATAAGTTCCTTTCAATTCATCGTGTCTAAGATAAATCAGCGATTATCAAATTGGAAGTCCCATCAACTCTCTTTTGCCGGAAGACTAACTTTAGTCAAATCTGTGTTAATAGCACTACTAGATTATGCTATGCAGTCCACGCATCTTCCTTTGTCAGTCACTGCTGAGGTGGATAAGAAGTGTCGAAGTTTCTTATGAGGAGATACTGAAAATCACAAAAAGGTTCATACTATAAAGTGGACAAAGGTTTGTCAACCAAAGGCCTGTGGTGGTTTGGGACTACGATTGTCAAAGGAATGTAATATGGCTTACATGATGAAGTGTGGTTGGGATCTTTCTACTCGTAGAGATGCCCTTTAGGTTAAACTTATTCGGTGTAAGTATTGATGTGGGGAGTCTATTCTCCCTATTATTAATTCGAACAGACTCGATTCAAATTTATGGAGAGGGATCTGTAATGTTTGGCATTATTTTCTTCAAGGGATTTCTTGGAATATTGGAGATGGACAATTGGTTTCATTTTGGAATGATAACTAGGTCCCAGGCTATGGTAAGTTGGCCGAGGCAGCTCATGTCATGCCCTCGACGGAGAGTCTACCAAAGAAGGTGTGTGAGTTTGTTGAAAGGAATGGCGATTGGAATTTTCCAGCCCTTAGGCCTTACCTTTCCACGGAAGTGTTGAATGTTATTTGAGCTATTCCCCCCCTCTTGCATCTCGAGGAGTTGATTCTTTGACTTGGAGAGGGGAAAGCACTGGTGAATTTTTTATTAGTTCAGCATATAGTAATATTACTCAAGAGTGTGTAGGTGAAAATGACTTGTTATTTAAAAGGATTTGGTGCTGGCCTGGGCCGGAGAGGTTCCGTTTATTACTATGGAAAATTGCTACTAAGCATTACTCACGAATGAAATCAGGCGGGCTAGGCACATGACAACAGATGCTTCATGCATGAGATGTGGGGATGATGTGGAATCGATGGATCATGTGTTTCGATCGTGTGCAATTTCCCGGGCTATTTGGTATTTGTTGCTGCCTGGATCAAAACATCGGGATTTCTTTGGTATGGATATTAAACATTGGTTGCTGTCAAATCTCAACAATAAGGCTCTAGTTGTTGGTCGTGAATGGTGCTTGATCTTTGCTATTACTTTGGATATCCTGTGGCAGCACTAGTGCAAAAGAGGCTTTTTACGTCAGACTACAACATATCCGACGTAAAAACGACGCGGTGGCATTTTTGAAAATAACGCAAATTTTTTTACGTCGGACAACAAAGGGACCGACGTAAATTAAACAATCTACGTCGGACCTCAGCTACAACCGACGTAGATTGTTGAATTTACGTCGGTCCCTTTGTTGTCCGACGTAAATGAAGTTGAATTTTTGAATTTAAGTTGCGTAGCGCCTCTCCTTCTTCACCAGATTTCCTTCCCGCTCTCCCTGCTTCGCAGCCAACACGTAACGCCTCTCCATTCTTCACCAGATTTCGTTCAGATTTTGTTCAGATTTCGCAGCCAACACGTAACGCCATTATTTGGGAGCATTCAGATTTCGTTCCCGTTCTTCGCTCATTTCCTACGTTCGAAGGTTCCTTTCTTATCTTCTTCCCTCCTTTCTTTATTCCGTTCGAACGTATCGTAATGTTTATCTGGCTGCAGACAGGAGCAGAAATTTGTACAAGGCCTTCTGGGTTTGGAGACACAGTCCTGGGTTTATCAAGCAGAACGGGCCGTTCTCCAAGCAGAACGGGCCGTTCTCCAAGCAGAACGGGCCGTTCTGCTGCACTTGTTTTCTTCTTTTTTTTTTTAAATTTTGTATGACTTTTTACGTCGGACCTTGGCATGTGTGACGTAAATTTACGTCGATTTTCGCGCCGCGACGTAAAATTTACGTCTCCAACGTCGGACGTTTCTCTGATGTAAAAACCCCTAAATAACCGACGTAAAATGCTTATTTTGTACTAGTGCAGTATAGGAATAGGGTCACCTTTCAGGGCTCTTCTTTTCAGCCTCATGAACTAGTCTCTCGAATTCTTTGCCCAAGTGAATATCTTACAGGATAGTATACCCCTGTTTAGATGTCAAACCATTGCAACACCTAATAAGAGGGATCAACAGGTAGTATGTTGGGTACATCCACCTGTTGGGATATATAAGCTGAATTGTGATGCTTCGGTTAGTCTTGAAGACAAGAGTGCTGCAGCTGGAGGTGTATGTCGTGACCATCATGGGACAATTATCTTTTCCTTTGCAGCCAAGATCAGTTTCTGTCGTGTGTTGATGGTTGAACTGTGGGCCATTTACATTGGTATAGCTACTGCTTGGAACAGGGGATTTACAAAATTGGTGGTGGAATTAGATTCCCAGCTAGCTATTGGTCTTCTTCGAAACGGGTGCTCTTCGTGCCACCCCTGTTTTAGTCTGGTCCAGAGTATCCTTTCCTTTGTTGCTGCGGGTGGTGACTTTGAGTGGAGGCATATTCTTCGTGAAACTAATCAAGTTTGCTGATGGGTTAGCTAACTATGGGAGAAGCCTTACAGATAATTTACATGTCTTTGAAAGTGTTATGCCTTTTATTTCTTTAGCTGTTCTTGCTGATGTAAGTTCTACTATTTTTCCTCGGGGATTTTAATTTAGTTTGTGGGAGCCATGCCCCTTATTTTCAAAAAAAAAAAAAAAGGTACTTAGCCATGCCCTGCTCCGCTCTCTTCTATATGTCATTTTCATTATGACAATGCATTAACTTAGAGAAAAGAGGATAAACCTAAATCACTAGTGTATTAATTAACTCATGATTTTGCTTTCAAACAATCAGTTTGCCACGCTTTCTGAACTGATAGATCCATTACGTTCGAATAGAAGTTGGTGACATGCTTTTAAGAATTTCGATATGCACATTCCCTAATTTCAACCACATGCAAAAATAAGACTACTTTTCAATTTGTCATGCTATTTTTATTTTTTTGAAAGCACACATATGACATATGCTATAATGGATTATTTAGTGAAAAGGAAATTATTTTCAGGGCAGCATCATAAGCTATGACATTTATACTGATAAACTTTCTGATATATTTATGAGTGTATAAAGGTAGTCGTGTACTGTATCTAATTATTCTTAAACTACAGTTGATATATATCAGTACAACTTTAGAATGTCTTGGGCTAGCTGTTTTGACGACCTAGAAATACATGTTCATGTGATGCACATGCATATGCTTTTCTTTTGGTTAAAATTAAAGGCAACCAGTTTTTATCAACTTTATTTTTTTTTAAATAAGGAAATATAATTTTTTTTCTTATTTAATTGATTTTTATAAAAATAAAATGATATCTTTAGTTAAAAAACACAAGAGTTCAATCGCTTGAGTTGATAATTTTTAATTACTTTAATGTATTATTTTATTGAATAATATTTATTTTTTCTGTTAAATACGAATAATAATAATAATTATTATTATTGTTATTGTTGTTATTATTATTATTATTGAAAAAACAATTTCTGTTTATAAAAAAACTTAATAAATAATTATTATTTTTAAAGAGGATATTATATATATATATATTATATATATATTATATATATATATATTATATATATATATAGAGAGAGAGAGAAGAGGTGGACACTACAAGAAAAATTGTTATTGTCTACGAAATATTACCTAAGAAATTTTTTCCGTAGATAATGTTTAGTTATCTATGAAAATTTTCAATATATAATTGAAAAAAATCCAGGTTTCCTCTTTCGTTACTTTTAATTTTTATTTTTATATGAATTATTTTAATCTGTTCATTTTCCATATCATTTTGGAATTACTTTTTCTTGCATGAAAATATTTTCTTTTCTTCAATTATTATATTACAAACTTAAAAGTGTGTAACCATAATAGCATGAGAGCTTGCAAGCCAAGAATTGTGGATGAACATTGAAATTCATAATTGCAAAGGTGCAAGAGCTCAAAAGTTTAGAATCGTGCTTGAATTTGAAGTTTGTGATTAGCTCGTGACTTATCTTCCCAGTGATCCATGTGGAGACAATTGAATAATAGTTGTTACAATTTTGTTAAAAATAAAAGGAAAATTTCATTTATGGCCATTTGAAATCCTTACATTCTCTTAGGGTGCCTTGTTAAAATCCTCTTGGCCAAAACCCTTTCTTTTTTTCTTGGAAAAAAGACTAAGGTAGGAAAAAAAGTACACGACCCGACTACATAGTCTAGCTAAAGTACTACTTCATGTGGGTGGTGTTCCATGTCTTGGGGATTTGTTTGCCTCCAAGTTCTTCGAGTTAGTATGCTCCATTTTTTTTGAGATTTTAGTGATTGGAGAGGGGGTGTTTTTTCCTAGTTGGGTGCAAGCTTTCCCATTTGTTTGTTTTCACCATGCTTCCTAAGAAGCTTTGTCAGACGAGGTTGCTTAGTTGGAAAGATTGGGACTTTAGTTTGGAGTTTCAGTGATGAAGGACTTGTTATTTTCATGCTGATTCATTGATCCTTAGTGGTCTGGGAGATAAGCCATTTTTGAATGTACTATCATTGTAAGGGTAGATTTGATCTAGCTTGGACGGCTCACCTAATTAAGGATCCACTTTTACCTTGATTGGCCTCATGCTCTTCCATTTGGATGGAACTGGTTATGCGAGTCCTCACATTGTTCGTGTTCTTGGGCACGTGCCAATTAAGGTCATTGGAGAACGGTCCCCCTTAAATGCATTCAACATGGCATTTAGTGTGATCTGGGGATGGAGGTCTCGTATGTTATTGGCTATGGATGAGAACCTTTCTATGAAAACTTAGAGTAATTCGTTGTCATCCTGTCGCATATTAAGCAATATCAAGGTCGAGGTCTCGTGAGGCTGACTGGTGGCAAAGTGCACCTTGAACTATTGCGTAAGAACGACGTAGCTAGGTATGCTCAATTAGGGTAGGCGAGTATACCATAAAAATGTGAGGCCCTCGAGTGTTGTTAGGAAGATCTTGCATAAGATTACCTTGTCCTGGGTACAAAGATGCATCTAGGTCTCATATGCAACGAAGTGCTCATCAAGGCATGTCGAGCCATTATGTGCCTTCATTATGATGTGTTTTTATCTTTGGAGGAGCAGGACATTGATCACATTGTGGGTAAAAGGATGACTACAACTTGCCCTAGGGGAACTCAAGGCTTTCTTGACCAGACTAAAGGTCTTGGGCAATATGGGTGTCTATAGTAGGTCTGGAGGTTGTGTACTCCTCTATTATCGGGAAGTTTGTCTTTGAGTGAATGTTGTTGTTTTCTTGGCA